TGTGTCCTACTCACCATGCTCTCCCCAGCTCCCTCCTCCGCCCCTGAGAGTCTGGCCCTTTCCAAAAGAGAAAAAAAAAAAAAAAGTCCTGCAATTTGAGAAGCCACTTGTCCTCCTCCTCCAGTCCCATCAGAGAAGCCACTCCTCCTCCAGTCCCATCAGCAGGAGCCTTCCTGAGAGGCTGCCCAGGAGGGACGGCCTCAGAGATGGATTCTCGGGGGTGAAGGCTCCCAACTCCAAAGGCAGCAACCCCTCAACCATATTACTGTTTTTCATGACCCTTTCTCACTAATTATATATGTATATTTTAATATATGATATATAGGTAGCATATATAATAAAACTTACATATGTATAAATATATATCTGAAATAAGGATACAGACAAGTCCTAGTTTAATTAGTAGCATTCTCTTTCTTTTTCTTTCACATGGAACAATTGATGGTATTTTTGATATGGTGAAACACAATGCCCCTCCCCGCCAGATTGTGAAATGGAGCCATTAGAATGACCTCCATTCACAGAAGAGGAAACTGAGGCTCAGTGAGGGACGGGAATGTTCCACCTTGGGTTCCAGGGCACTAGGAAAGAAACAGGTTTCACCATGGGTCTCTCTGGAGTGGGTGTGGAGGTCGGGCTGGGAGGAACCATTAGCTTCTGGATGACTGTCCTCTGTCTATTCACTGGACTAGGGCTCCCATGAGACTCAGGATAAAGGGAACAGCCGCCTCCTGGGGAGCGCGTGAGGGCTGACAGTGATGGCTGAGGCCAGTTTCTACTTGGGAAAGTGTCTGTGGGAAGGTAGGGGGTGAGGCGACTGGGTTTCCAGAGTGAGGGTCTGAGAGCCCAGGGGAAGGTGAGTCCTCAAGATCCAGGCACCAGCAGCCCTGTGGTGGTTGCTGGAAAACCCTCCTGCAAGCTGTCTCTGCCTAGACATTCCTTAGCTCCCCCAGGCCGCCCCCAGGAGAACCAAGGGGGACAGGATTGCCAAGGACTAGGTTCCGAGTCTGGAGAAGCTTTGAATTTGGGAACTGGGTATTTCACAAATGGGAAATGTGAGGCCCAGAGAAGGGAAGGGGCTTGCCAAAGGCCCCGGACAAGGGGTGATCAGGACTTATTTTTTTTAGTATAAACAACAGTGCCAGCTCGAATGGATGGAGCACCTCCTATGTGCCAGGCCTGTGCTAAGCACTTCACACACAATTCTATGAGGAGGCCACTGTTATTACCCCCACTATACAGACGAAACAGATGAGGCTCAGAGAGGTTTGAAGCAATTTTCCCTAGATCACAGTAGGTGATGGAAGAACTCAGGCAGTGGAACCTCAGACCACAGCTCCTTCCACAGCCAAAGGACCTCTTAGAAGGTTTATCCAGAGCATACATGTCCACTATCTGGCACGGCCGGGGGTCCTCAACCCTCCCCAAGCACTGGGACTCCCTAGGAATCAGACCTGCCCTCAGAAGCGCTCTCTCTGGTGAGAGGGGAGAGACGTGCAGGCACCTCACTACTGGGAGTGTGCTAGGAGCACACTCCTAGACATCCTCCTGCAGCAGGAGGAGGGTGCCCAACACAGGGTCATTCTGGCCCCATGGATCCCCTTCCAGGGGTGGAGGACACTGGCGGGAGGAGTGGCTCCCAGAAGCCAGACTCTGCAGGCTCCAGGTTGTGTCCCTGTTTACCCAGCTCTGGGCCAAGGTAGGTCCAGACCTCCTGGCTTCCTCCCCCTGCTGCGGACAACCTGGCGTTCCCTTGGGGGGGGCTGTTTGTCCATTGGTCCCAGAGAAGGAGAGGAGATGACTGTCCACATAAGATGGGGAGGGGACAGGGTAACTGGGTGTCCCAGCTTGGGGACTGGGAGCTTTCCAACTGTAACTGTCCTTCGAAAAATGGGGGGGGGGGGGGG